CAACCTGCAATCCCTGTCCAGCGCTAACTACATTGGAGGTTCGGTTGCCATCTAGATTCTAGTCTGAGTTTAATTCTGGCTTGGTATTTCTGGATCATCTAATACATTTATTTCAGTGATTAGAGAATTCTTCTCATCATTCTTTTCTTGTATGATCTGATCCAAGTCATGCGTTAGCTGCGGTTCTCTAAATAAAGCAGAGTTTCCAAATCCTGGCAACGTGTTCAGCCACCTTCAAGTCTGAGCTGCAGGTGGCTGGAGCAGCCTTTCGTGCCCCCATTTCTGGAAAATAGGCTGGTGTACTGAAATGCCTGTTGCTGGGAATACTGGACTAAGCCCTGATGGTCTTGTGGGAGGCAGGTTATTGCCAGGTGTGTAATATTGCTGTACAAAGAGATAAAGGGAAAATAACACCCGAAAAAAATCCTCTGATAACTTCAAGGGGAGTGAACAGGCTTTTACCCGGATAATTCTGGCTCTTACTCTTCCACCTTTTCCTGCAGGTCCAGCGAGACCCTCGATTTGATGACTTGTCTGGAGAGTATAACCCGGAAATATTTCTGAAGACATACAGCTTCCTGGACAGCATCAAGAAGCGCGAGAAGGAGGTGATGCTGCATGCCCAGGAGGACCTGCCTGGCAGGGGCAGCTTCCTCCAAGCCCTTTGGCTGTGGGAGGTGGCAGGCAGCTGTTTATGTGGCTTTCTACTCACTCTTGCAGATGATTCAGAAACAGCTGAAAAAATGCCGGAACGTGGAGCAGAAGGAGCAACTGCAACAGCTCTTGAGGCGCATGGTGAGATAGTCCCCAAGGCAGGCAGGCTGCTGCAACATGAGGCGATGCAAAAAGGAGGTGAGACCTGAGGGCTGCACAAACACTTGCTAACATGAGCTGTCCTTTCTGTACAGACGCAGCAGGAAGAGGAGCAGAAAAAAAGGCAGAAATGGAGGGAGAGGGAGCTGTCTTTGAAGAGACAGCAGCGGGAACTGGCCCAGCAGGGGAAGAAACCCTTCTTCCTAAAGAAATGTAAGTACTCAGTGTAAATGCGCTGTGGGGAGATCCAAGGAGGCGGCTACTGACAGACGCGGGGGTATAAAGCCTGTCTGTGGGGCTTCGAGCACGGAAGGCAAGTTGGCTGTAACCTCCCCCGGAGCTGTGGAGGGTTTGTTTGAGCCCTGGCACTCAAGGGACGAGCCAGGCATGGAGCCAGCGAGGGAGAGGCAGGGAGGGCTCGGTCTGCAGAGATGTGCTGGCTTCAGTCTAAACCTGGCTTCTCTCTCCCACAGCTGAGAAGAGGAAATTGGAGCTAGCAGAGAAGTATGCAGAGCTGAAGAGGAGTGGAAAACTGGAGAGCTTCCTGAACAAAAAGAGGAAGAGGAATGCCATCAAGGACAAGCGCCGGCTGCCCTCGCAGAAGAGCCTCTGATTATGGGATGGACACAATGTTGTCTCACAGCTGGCTGTTGCTGGACCTGCCTGTCTCCTACCCTAGGTAGGAGAGCACGAGCCCTGAGCTGTGTTGCTGAACATGGGGGAGGGCTCCAGCCCAGTGCCTGCTCAGAGCAGGGCCAGCACTGAGCCTGGATCAGATTGCTCAAGGCTTGCTCCAGTTGGGCCTGGAAACCTTCAAGGACAAGAGACTGCCACATCTCCTGCTCTGTTGCTTCATACCTTCAGGGTGAAACTCTTCCCCTTCCCTGCAGGAGAAATTTGCCTGGTTTTACCTCATCATGAGTCCCTTGTTCCAGAGCACCTACCTCTGTCTCCCCAAGAACCTCACAGGTGCAGAAAGGCTTCCCTGAAGCTGCCTCTTCCAGGCTGAGCAAGTTTGTTCCTTCAGCCTCTCCTTGCAGGTCCACTGTTGCAGCCCCTGATGGTTTTCATGTCCAGCACAGCCCATGAGTCAAGTGCCAAATAAAGGGGGATTTTGGGCCTCGACCAGTGGGCTGTGCTCTTGGCCCCACGGCCCGTGCTGGGGCTGGCCTGGCCGTCCTAGCTGCCAGCAAGGTTAGTTGCAGAGCGGCTGCTGCCCAGGGTCTTCTCAGCAGGGTTTTTTCCCTTCTCAGCCTAGTCTTTGAGGGGCTGTTAGTGCTTCTGGGTGCTACTGTTTCTGCATAAAATAAAACTTTTTTTTTTCCCTTATTCCATGTATGTGGTGGGGTTTTTTGTTACTTTTTTTCCCCCCTGTAAAAGTTAACAGCCCAGCCTTGCAGGTGCCACCCAGCTTTCTCCTGCTTGTCCTGCGGTTGTGCTGGGCTGCAGGTGACCAGCATGGGACTTGTGTGGCAGACCCTGGCCCTGTGCGCAGGGAGGACCCCTCTGCTCTAGGGGGACAGAGCCCTCCTGAGCCTGTGCAGGGTGCGAGGGGGTGGCTGCTGGAGAGGCCCCTCAAGCCCTTGCAATGAGCAAGAACTGGGGAGCTGAGCAGCTCTGTTGCGCCTGCCGAGGCGTTAGTGAAGCAGCTGCTGCTTTGGCAGTTCCTGTGGGCGCTGCGAGTTCTGCGCTGGTAACGCGCCTTGGCGTAGCCGGGCGAAGGCAGGAGAAACGGGATGTGCCAGCCCCAGTTGGGAGCGAAGGGGAGTTCTCAGCTCTCTTCGATGTACCCTGTGGTTCATCAAAGGGCGCCGTGTGGCTGCCGCCTCCTTTCCCTGCCTCGTGCCACTGGATGCAGGAGCCGCAGCATCCTTGCACCTTTGGAAGAGCGCTTTGCTGGAGCAGTGTGGCAGCACCGAGTCACAAGGAGCTCGTGGCTCTCTGTGTCAGTGCTCTGAAGTTTTGATCTGCGCTGCTCTTCCCCCGGCAAAGTTGCAGGGCTGGGACAGGCTCCAAGGGGTGTCTGGTCCTGGGGCCTTGCTGAGGAGCAGCACCAGGAGCAGCGTTCTCAGGTCTGTACGTCCCTTCCCCAGCTGCCAGTAGCTCCCACCCTGGGGCGAGCAAGCCTGGTGCGTACCCAGAGCAGCCAGGTTCCCTTGTCCTCCTGCTCTTCCAGAGCCCAGTGGAAGCCTGAGTGCCTGGTGGGCAAAGGTCTCTTAGACCATAGATTTCCTACGATTCTGCTCAGCATTGCAGGTCCTCTGGGCTAGGACTGGAGAGGATCTGGCTGGGGTGGAGCTGCAGGTGGGCTCCTGGGTCTCCCTATGGGTGTCCCTGGGGCAGGCAGCTGTGGGGCTGGGCTTGCACCAGGTGATTGAGCTGCGGCTGCTTGCACACAGACACGTCCCCCAGCAACACGGCACTCGGAGGAGCTGCCTCTCCTGGGCCAGGAAGGGTGGCCCCCGACACGGGGACAGCCACGAGCAGCACCCGCGCTGCAACGCCCTCAGCTCAGCCCGGGCTGGATGTCCAGGCATGCTGGAGATGGGAACCCACTGCGGACGGGGGCAGCGGGACAAAGGGGAAACGCACCTGTAGCTGGGGACACGGAGAAGCGAGGAGGCCACACGGCTCATGTCATCTTTTATTGCAAAGAAGGAAATACGAAAAAGGAGAGTGACCCTCCCTGAGGCTCCCGGCCCGTGGCTGTCTGGAAGGGGGGCAGGGTGGGGGCAGCCCTTGCTCCTGGGGCCCCTTGCTCTGCTCAGCCTCGTGGGCCCGCACGCCTGGAGGGCAGCGCCACGACAGGAGCAAGGAGCAGGGTGGGGGGCAGCGCCCGTCCCCTGCAGCGCGCGGCTGCGTGGCCCCCGCGCGCCCCGCAGTGCCCTGCACGCAGACCCGGCCACCGCGGGCCCTCCGCCAGCCGGCGGCGCGTCCGAGTCCTGACCTGCTCTGCAGCCTCACCGAGGCCGCCCCGCCACCCCCACGCTCCCTGTGGGGAGGAGAGCAGGGTCATCCCCCCGGCACGGGAAAGGATCAGCGCCGTGCCAAGCCCTGCAGCACCAGGGCTGCGGGGCCGTCACGTGTTGTCCTGGGCCAGCTCCTCGGGGCAGGCAGGCCGGTCCCGGGGCTTGGGCAGCCCCGGGGAAGGAGGCTGGGCCTGGGCGCCGTGCTGCGGCACCGGGCCCGGCCCCAGGGACGCCTGGTGCCGGTGTCGCTGGTACTGCACAAACATGGAGATCTTCAGTCCGATAGCCAGCACGTTCTTGCCCATGAAGATGCTGGAGACGCGGGCATCTCTGAAGAAGACCATGTTGCTGCCGCGGATGAAGATGGTGGCAATGTTGACGGTGAGCATGCTCAACATGGGGTACAGCATCATGCGGTGCGGCATAATGCCGATCCCCTGCATGCTGATCTCGCACAGCGACACACACGGGAGGACCAGGAGCAAGATGTAGCAGTAGAAGAACATGATGCCCTCAGCCCAGAGCGGCAGCCCCTTCTTCTGGGGCTCCCACAGGTTGGCCTGGATGTCCAGCACATCCAGCATGTCCACAATGACCCAGAAGAGGCGATTGCGGAGATCCTCTTTCTTCTTGAACGTCCTGACGTACTCCATGTGCTCTGTGGCCACCAACAGCACATAGAGGGCTGGGATGCAGATGGAGAGCAGCAAGGTCAGTGCTTTGCGGGCCATGAGGTCCAGGCTTTTCCGGTCAGCTTTATAGTTCTGGTAGACAAAGTAGACCTTGATCTCCAGAACAAAGACGTAGAGGAACCAGAGGATCATGGCATAGCCCCGCTTGGCTGTCTTCACCTCTGCCCCGACCCAGATGGCCACGTAGCGGAGCACCAGCAGGAAGCACACGTCACCCACTGCCACCATAATGCAGATGCCCAGCTTCCTGGAGCCCTGGCTCTGCTCCACCAGGTAGGCGTCCATGAGGATGAGGCTGCTCATGATGAGCACGGTGGAGAGGCACACGTGGGGCTTGCTCACGGGCGGAGGGGGAACCATCCTGCGCAGAGGAACAGGGGGGGCCGTCAGGGAGCTGCTGGGCTTCCCCCAGCCCCGTGTCCCCTTCCACCCACCGAGCCCCAGCTACCTGGGGGAACCCAGCTCCTGGGCCACGCGTGGCAGTATGACAAAGAGCCTTCAAGCCCTCAGGGTGCCACCACCTCTTCAAGCAGCTTCCTGCACTGCCTAGTCAGTCCCTCACGCTGTGAAGGGAACATGCCTTCCCCCCACTCCCTTGATGTATCCCAGCTGGTAACGCTGGTTGATAACCCCTTCTGCAAGGAAGAGGAGCCTCGGGAGAGCCCACCCTGAGCAGATCCTTGCCAGCAATGAGCCAGGACCTCCATCTTTATCTTAGCCTTCCGCATTTTTGTGTACAGCGTTAGGAGACGGATTATTTTTAGCCTGGCTCTTCTGTGGAGGACAGCAGGGAAAGAATTGGACCAACATCTTCAGTCGCATCCAGCCTCACAGTACTCCAGGGCTTTGCCTGTGGTTCTTCGCTTGCGCCTACCCTTCCCCAGGGGGCCAAACCCCAAAGCAGCGCTGCTCGGAGCGCGACCTGCTCCGCTGCGTCCCACCACCTCCCTCCTCCTGGCCGAGCGCAGCTGCAGGCGGCTGCTGCCAGCGGCCACGGCGGGAGCGCGGGGACAGCGCCTGGCCTGTGGTGGCTCAGCAGCTGCCCTGGAGCAGAGCCAGGCGCCAGGCTGGAACGGAGGAGGAGGAGGAGAGAGGAGAGCCTCCTGGGCATGGAGGAGATGGCCCTTGGCTATGCCTCGGGGCGCTGTGGTGAGCATGGAGGAGCGCCGTGGAGCATGGAGGAGCCCTGTGGAGCATGGAGGCTCTGTGGTTAGGAGTTACCCCACACCTAGATGCTCTCGCTGATGCCTGTTTCAGCCCCTCTGGACCGCACGATGCTTTGGGGCATCAGCAAAACCCTTCTTTTGAGGCAAAAGACCAAGGGCCCTGTGCAGCCTCCCTGCAGGGCAAGGGGCAGCTGGGTTGGCGCAGCGAAGCCCGAACCTGCCGGCCGGGGGCGCCC